AAGTTTCTATGTGTGTCTTATGTCTTATAGTTTTGTTAATGGTTGCTCAGTTCAGTTTGTTTGTTTTGTAATTAAGCACAAAGCTACACAATGAGCTATCTGTGCTCTTCCCACCACGGCTATCGAAACCCGGTTTCTAGCGTTGTAAGGACATTCCGCTGTGCCACTGGGGAGCACTCTACAATAAGGAAGGTAAGTTTCTATGTGTGTCTTATGTCTTATAGTTTTGTTAATGGTTGCTCAGTTCAGTTTGTTTGTTTTGTAATTAAGCACAAAGCTACACAATGAGCTATCTGTGATCTGCCCACCACTACTATCGAAACCCGGTTTCTAGCGTTGTAAGGACATACCGCTGTGCCCCTAGTGGGGGGGGGGATCTACGTTCAGGTGGCAGCAGCTCTTCGATCACGAGAGGCGACAACTACTTTCAACAGGTGATGTCAATAATGTCTCAAACTTTTTAATATTTCATTACGCGTTCAAAATAACTTAGAAATAGATTTGTCATACTGACCTGCGTACGTTTGTAACTTTCTAGAATCTTTATAAAACTTCCTCGCATTAAAGTTGCGCATGGAAAGAAAAATATTTCTAGAACTGACCTGTGTATATGATTATGAATTTAATCTCTGAATCACGCCGTTACAGCCTCACACGTGTTTCTCTATCTAAAACATGCCCACCTCGACACCTCAAAAAATTTGATGCCCCCTTAATATAAAAACAAATTTGATGTTGAAAAGGTATAATAATATAAATAATTACAATTATTTATTATAAATAATAATTATTTATTATAAATAATGTTAATAATTATAATGTAAAATTTTACTTATTGTAGCATTTTTCAAATTGCCCCCCAATATATTTCAAACTGCCCCCCCCTGTGAGGCGTGCGCCCCACGTTCAGAATCACTGAACGAAAATATTAAGTTCCAAAGAATTTTATTTCTTTCGCAGTGTCATGATTTTTAGATTAACCTTTCCCCCAGCGAATGCATTAGTTTAGGCTTAAAATTCACATCATGATCAGAGATTTCCTGGTATAAGTAAGTTCCCCCAAGAATTAAATGGTCTTCGGTTTAAACGTTTTTCCCTCACAGAGGTTACTCTGCTTGTAACTTCACGGGACAACCTCTAAAGTCACACCAGCGTGGTTGACCCCAAAAATTAAATGGTCTTCGGTTTAAACGTTTTCCCTCACATAGGTTACTCTGCTTGTAACTTCACGAAACAACCTCTAAAGTCACACCAGTGTGGTTGACCCCCAAAATTAAATGGTCTTCGGTTTAAACGTTTTCCCCTCACATAGGTTACTCTGCTTGTAACTTCACAAAACAACCTCTAAAGTCACACCAGCGTGGTTGAAAAGATCGAAGCATTAAACGATCAATTTGAGCTTAAGTACAATCAAACATGCTGCGATTGCTGAAGAGTTTGGATAAGAGATTTTCGGATTAAAAAATTTCGAATACATTTGTTCTAGTCGCTGACATTTTGTACGTGAATTAGATACACTTTGGTTTTTATGCATTTTCGTTACGCATGCGATGCGTGAATATAAATAAATTACTCATAAATTCAAGGGTAACAATACTCTTGTTAGTTTTCATATATCCAGTCCTGAGAGACCCCTTCCCCCCCCCAAAAAAAACACAAGCCTCTTTCACCCGTCTTCCAATTGATAATATGCAAAATCTGAATTAAGGTTTTTGCTTTGAGTGACTGCTCGTGTGTGTGTGTGTGTTTTTGAATTTCGCGTAAAGCTACACGAGGGCTATCTGCGCTAGCCGTCCCTAATTTAGCAGTGTAAGACTAGAGGGAAGGCAGCTAGTCATCACCACCCACTGCCAACTTTTAGGCTACTCTTTTACTAAAGAATAGTGGGATTGACCGTCACATTATAACGCCCCCACGGCTGAAAGGCCGAGCATGTTTGGTGGGACGGGGGGATTCGAACCCGCAATCCACAGATTGCGAGTCGAGCGCCCTAACCACCTGGTCATGCCAGGCCACTGCTTGTGTCAATATCAATGTTCAAATAAATCAATTCAGAAAAAAAAACGCCCCAAAATTCCTTGTACCCCACTTTTGGAGCCCGCTCACAACGCCCTTCCAAAATTTTTCGTTCCTTTGCTCTAACGTTCGAGAACTTGCATGCAGTGTCTTGAAGAGCTTCGAACATACGATCGACATTACTATACACTTTGAATAATGTCGGTGTTGAAACATCTCATATGTGGTCGCTATTCCTTTTGTTTCACGACAGATATAGGGCCGGAATTCACGAGTTTTTGTTTTTAGAAAGACTACAATTGTTACGACTTGAGTTTTAACAAAGATTTGATTTGTCGTGTTAATACCCCACAAGTTGTAGTTTTAGTTATGTCTTGACCAGTACCAATGTTATAGGCGGATGCGAAGAGTGCACTACCCCAGCCCCCCCTCCCCCCAATCACAAGAGGCTCCAAAAGAGTTCTGTCGGTCCTCTTTATATTTTCTTTAAAACTGCACTAAAACTTAAGGAGCCCAATCATAATTTTCAGCGTCTGGTGATTTTTTTTTACCCCCTCCCAGTGGCTCAGCAGTAAGTCTACAGGTTTACGGCCCTAAAACTCGGGTTTCGATACCCGTATTTGGCAGAGCACAGATGGCCCATTGTGTAGATTCGTGCTTAACAACTAACAACTGCAATCTGTTCGTTTATTGTTGTGAAAATCAAACAAACTTGAAACTGAATTACTTTTCCTTGAAAATACATAAACATCAAATTTTTATACAGTTTTTGACCGGACGTGAAATGCAATGTGAGTCCAGGGTTCGAGACGTGTTGCTGGTTAAATAAATTCTATACCTGGATAGCGTTATAAAAGTGACAGTTTCCGTTATTCGGTGCAAAGGGCTGGACAAAGCTCTTGTAGAGGTGGGTGCTACTGGCCGGTTATATTAATTGTGGCCTATAGTTAAAAAACTAAAGAATAATATGGCTGAACTCTAATGGTCTCTGACTTAAACATTTAGGCCACATGCGCATAAGATGTTCAGGTTAACAATTCCAAAGTAATATTTATAATTTCTGTACCCCTGTCACACACATCAGTTTAATCTCCTTTGAATCTACGTATTAGCTTAAACCTTCCAATCTTAATTATATATTTGCTACCAGTTTCTATCCTGGTTTAAAATCTCGCGCTCATAATTCTGTAACGCTACATTTTCTTTCTTTTTTTAAAATCTAAAACACGAAAGCAGTTTTTTTTTTTCTGGTCTAATAATAGATCATTTATTATATTCATAACTGTATCCAGAGGCTTCAAGAAAGAAAAATAATAATAATGCGTGAACCCCCCAGAGATTTTTAGGGGTGGGTACTGATTGATACAAATGAATGTAGGTGGCGATCGTTTTGTCTTTCTGTTTTTTTGTCAAATGAGATATTCTAAGATGATAACGTGGCTTCCGGTAAAAAAACCTATAATGAGCAAAATCCAGTAACTAGGCCACCTGACTCGGCCTTTTTGTGTGTGTGGAATTTTTATTCAACTGTCTCACGAGAGCTCGAAACAGGGGATCAAATTTTACTCTCTCTCTCTTTTTTTTAATAGGGGGGAAAGAAAGAAAAGCGTAAAAATATAGCTCGAGACACGAGAAAGGATAGAAGAATAAACACTGGAGTGTTATATATAACTTGTCCTCGAAAATAAGGGAAAATAGGAAACCGAAATTAATGGAAAGAATAAA